CTTTTTTTTCAGTTTACAGCAGAAAGCTTAACATGCCGATCTTGCCCCGATCTCCCCTACATGTCGAATCATCAGTCGTAGAGAAACACATAAACAGTTATTAACACACATAAATGTTCTCCTACAGTTTTAGTCGTTCGTTTCATTTGCCTCATTACAATATTTCGTAAAAACTACAAGTATTTAATAGCGATATCAATTGAACTTTTGTTTATAAAATATTCAAAAAGAGAATCTAATATTTCTATGAAAGTTTTTAAAGTTTTACCATAAGTTAATGCCCTATATGTTTATTGTTTCAAGATGGAGAGCTCCGTATGATGCAACAGTTACTCCTTTTGATGTTAAAGAAAAGAATTAATGTTATACAACAGAAATTGCGAACGAAAATTACTTTCACGATCGATCTGTTGGCCATCTCTTCTATGGATAAATAGTCTTCAAATTTATCTTTTACTGCTTGTGTCTTTTATTCATTACGTACAGTACATATATCGTAAATTACTTAAATACGCTCGAAACTGGGCAAATGTCTTGGAAAAAATTAGTTGTATTGATTCATTTCACGATTCCGTCAGTCACTCCCATCGGTTACCATAAATAAGAAAGATACATTGGCTATCGTTTACCAAAGTTGCACGATACATGATAAAAGATACTTTAAAAATGAAAATTTTGTATCCAAAACGACCCGTATCGCCTGTCAAGCACGCAGAATACAAAATCCAGTATTAAAAAAAAAGAAGACAGTTTCTGACAGACACATTGCAAGCAAGAAGATATGTTTAAAGTAACAGTCAAGACTGTAAAATTTTTAAGAAATTACATTGATTCCTTTTACACACGCTCTTTTTATATATTGGAATTCTTAGATTTCGGTTATAAATTGTTAATATATTTTGTCTATATGCATTAAATTTTGTAAGAAATAATTTTGTGAAACTGTAACCGCAGGATTGTTTCCATGTATACTGGTATTTGTCCAACCCGCTTAGTTCGTTTTTCATCAACATTCGAACTAGTTCAAAGCGTATAAACTTTAGAAAAGTCAACTAGAAAATTAATAGACTGGCTGCAAACGAATTTTATAAAAATCTATTTAAAAGTTTTATAAATCTCTTCTAGAAGAGAATTTGAAATCTTAAGAAGTTTACAGGAGAAATATTTTCTATTTTTTCTTCCTCGTATCTTGGAGAACAAACGTTTTCGAAAATGAAATATATAAAATCAAGATATCGAATATCGCTATCCAACGAATTTCTAAGGGAGATATTTATATTGAGTGCCACAAAATTTGTCTCCAATTTTGATGACATTTCTTTGATAAATCAGTTGATAATTTCACGTTTATTTATGTCCGTTGTTATTCAGAAATAAATAATGTTAAGATTTTTTTATTATTAATCTTTGATGTATCTTTCGTATATGGTACAGCTCACGTGGCCCTTCTCAAAAAAAAAGAATGATTGGAGATTCCCCGCTGTAACCTATCACGTGTCATATGTTATTGTTATGTGTTGTTTTCTCTACGGAGAATCTGAAAAATGATCTTACACCGACTAGTCTCCATTTGTACTATTTCTTTTTTCCTGTTTTCTTTTATTGCTGCAATAAATTTTGTATTATATTTTAATGCGGCCGAGTTATTTAAAACATACAAATCGCCTTTAAGAATTGTATATTTAGAAATCTATCCGATATTATAATAATGGAAAAACTTGATTATACAGCGACTTAGTGTCTTAAATTTTTAACACTGAAGTTATTAAGTTACGATTATTACTATTGAAATTTATTAAATTTAAGTTTTACAATTAAAAATGACTAAACTTTGTAGAGATTTTTGACAATTTCTCGAAGAACTTTATCGTAAGCAAAATTTATTATCGTTCAGTCAGGAGTTAAGAGTACGAGGCTGACATTTGTTAGAAGGAAAAGAGAAACCGCTTATCGATCATCGCTTCTCAAACAGACTATTCCATTCGAATATTTAATATTTAAACACCGTTAGTTTGTCCGATAAACGTAGTTCCATTCAACTAATATATTCTACAGTCGATAATTAAATTTTCATTGTAAGAAAGTACAATTAAGAAGCGTGTACGAATATAACGCGGCGGCTGTCATTTCCCTTTCCTCGACATTAATCGATAAGCGAAACTTAGTTTCCACCTTGTTAATTCTTTACAAAACATTATTCTTATCTTCCGTTTTCGGGTCATATTATCGCTTCGACGCCCGTCAAATTCGAAAATTATTTTTAGTTTACGTACCGAGAAAGCCACTTTCCCAGACAGTCTTCGTTTGGGAATTGAATGGAAGAAGTAAAAACGAAGTAAAGTACATGCGACTTTCACGTCAGAAGTGCATTCGCGCATTTATCGTGGGAGGAATTTGTAAAGGAATTCGATCGGAGAGGAGAAAGCGATAGTGATGCGGGGGAGAGGAGGAGGAGAAAACATCCCCGGTATCATTCGGGCGCCAAAAAGGCGACCTCAACCAGAGGTGATGTTCGGTGACGACGCGAATAAACTGATATAAGTGTACAAACGACACCGTTCATGGATGGGCGAACGAGTAAAGTAACCGGTTTCCTCTCGCTAACCAGTTATTGCTCGTAAAGTCTAAAGCCCACGATGTAAGAGTTTAAAAGGGATGCGCATTTCTCTCATTCTTCCTTTCGATCCAGTACAAAATCGTGAATTTAGAAGTAACCCTCGAAAGTGGTCAACCGAGATTCAATAAAGCCAACAATTCTATTCTCGTTTTGTCAAACGAACGGGAATAACACTCTATTTGCATTTTATAAGAGACTCTTCGAATTTACGAAACTATTTCGATTGCTAGTGTATTCTAACTGTGAAGCATTGCTCCACCGACTTACTTCATTTACATTCTGAGGTGGAAATTTTCGTTTCCGGCTAAGAATTTTGTCACTTTCAATCGACAATCAACCTTGAAAGGGCAAAATGTTGTCATTAATTACTTTTACGTCAACTCGAATCAACATCGATTTTATGATTTGCCACAGATATAAATTTAATTACGTATTTGAAAAAATAACATTAAATTTGTAACATTTTAATGTTATTTTTTCTTTTTAAATTTTGACGTATTAAACGAAGAAACTTTAAGTTATTACAATAGAAAAAGTATTTAAGTAGATGTTAAAAATATATCGTAACGCGATCGATTTTCTCACAAATATCGGTGACAAGATATGTATGCCAATGAAACAAATCAAAATAATCAATTCGACATGTAAAATAAGTGGTAAGAAGATAAATGGAACAAATGTGGATTCGATTTTCTTCATCTCTGCAGTAGCAATCTAAAGGTAACGAAGCTAATCATTGACTATTAGAAATAAACAATGGATAAACATTTGAAAATAATGAATTGATAACTAGAAATATTTTTCTTTTCGCAGAAAATTTATCGTAAAATTAAGTAAATTTTAAGTTAACGAAGCAGCAAAAACATTTGACGAATTTATCCAATATTAACGTAGCCAGTTAACACTCGACCAATTAAACTGTTTTTAAAAGGTCGAATTTATATCCCGCTTGATATATAAATTAAAATATAATCATTAGTAGTAAATGTACACTTTTACTCGACCCCAACCCAAACCCAAAGAAATCATTAGCATAGTTTATGGAGTTAATTATTCACAATTTACAAAGATTTGTATCTCTTAAAATGGCATACGTCCTGGCGACGAACGTTTGTTTCGAGAACACATCTATTAATAAAGCTCTCCAGAGATAAAACATTATTACACGAGCCATAAATCTAAGTCTAATTAGCAATTTAATATCGCTTCAAAACTTAATTTCGATATAGAATATCTTCTCTTTGAGTTTGAAACATCGAGGAACTTTTGCAAAGGTTAAGAATAGCACAATATTTTCGAAATTTATTCAATTGTTAACATTTCTTTTGAAAAAACTAGAAAAATCTCTTTTATACCATTCGTTCTGTACGTCATTCAATTTTTTTAACAAGGAAAAAACAGGATTAATTGTAGCAGTGTTCCGAACAAAGAAGAGATTTTCTGCCCACGACCCACAAAGAGAACAGGCGACTTTTCTTCTTCTTCTTATAAATGAAGCTCGTCTCCAATTAAGATAACAGCCGCGCACTTAATTATCTTTTTTTTTATTATCGTTAACCTACATTTATTTATCTTCTATCGAAAAGATCTTTTATCTTTCATTTTCTTTTCTATAGGAACACGGCATTTACACTGTCGATAATCGAACCCTTTTCATACGTAAACGTCGTTTACCCAGGCTAATCGAAAACAAGGAAATGCACTTTTCTCCTTTTAACTTTGTAAATTTTAGAGAAATATTCGAGAACTAAGCACATATTAAAAAATTTCCAGAGAATTTTTAGCGAATAAGATAAAAGTCGGAAATAAAAATAATTAAATAATCATCGAAATTTTGAGCATTTTTGATATATTTAATTACAGATCGTCTCCGATTTACAGTATAAAAACACGAAAAACAGCTTAAGAGAGGGGAATATTTTCTGTCAGATTCGCATTTCGATCACGTGCGACTTTCGAAAGAAAATTGCCCACTTTACAATAGAAACGATTGTGTCTTTTCTCCTCTTTAAATTCAGTTTAAACGCGCCTTTTACGCGCGGTACAGAAGTACAGTACTTCTGTTTCCCTTTCTTTATACACAAAAGACAGTAAATTGCGTCATTTCGAATTTCAAATTTCACTAACTCATCTTCTGAAAATTGTTATATATTATCGATAAACAATTCATTGTTAATTTGTACAATTAGAAATGTACAGTAATTATTAGAAATAGAATAAATCAATGTAAAGTACTGTGCTGTAGTACATCTAATGCACAAAGTACATTACATAATTAAGTTCGGTTGTATTAATAAACCGGTAGGTTTGGGGTTTGCGAACAGGAAGGAAGTGGACAGCAACAGATAGGTGACTCGGGACGAGAAGAGGAAGAAGTACTCACCGGGGAAGTATCTAAGGACGATGTCGTCTTCGGAGCGGGTGACGTTTAATCGGTCCATGGCGTTCGGTAGACAACGGAGCAAATGAGGAACCACATCGGTCCCTGCCTCCGTCCGACCGTTGTATACGGGAGAAGCGTCGGCCGGACACACGCATTGGCCAAGCGCGTGATCGCAGAAGGAGTCGGGAGCGCTGCATTCTGGGTAGCAGGGGCGGAGTCTCTTCTCGCAACCTCCTGAAAAAACATGGGAAGACAATTAAGCCGTCGACCCGATTTCTCAACGTCTTCGCCTCCCCTTTTCAAAGCGAAAAACGCCTTCCTCTCACCTGCTAGGAAACTCTCTAACCTTTGACCTTCGAAAGGTGTCGTAGGTCAAAGGTTACAGTTTTTCCTGTACGACGTTTGCTACTAATAAGAAAAAGTCGCGAGTTTAGAAGATTATAAAGACGCCATTTTAAAATTAATTATAAGTGGAAAACAATGTTTCGTCCAATTCCCTATTGAAATGAAAAAATTTAGCACTCATTTTGATGTAGAAAAAATAAATTGATCACGTCGTCGGATCGTAATTTCATTATCATTTCGTGTAAACGTCTCTATTTTTCTAATTGTCTCATTAGCCACGTTTTTTTTTGGTTTCTTCTACCCCTTTAAAAAAACAACATTTTTTTCCTATTCACTTAAAATTTCCGTACAAATATGGCACTGCTCTATTTAAATTATCTTATGTCTTATTTCATGGCACGCAAATCTTCTTCCATATAAAAATTGGAGTATTTTTCTTCCGCCTGAACGGTCTCGTGACTAAGTAAAAGCCTAAAAATAGATGGCTGAATTTATTTTTCTTCGCATTTACATTGATCAGACTACTTTTTTGTTGATTCTCTATAACTTTTCTTAGCGATTTAGGATGTAAATTTGTAACTTTATTTAAATTTTTAACGTTATATTTATAGTAATTTTATATAGACTAACAAGAAAGTTAATAATATCACGAATAACAATGTATAACATTAATCAACGAACCTGTTAAATTATAATTAATTTTGGAAGGAAAAAAAATTAAGGAATAATTTTATAGAAATTTGTTCAGCGAGTTCAATTGAGAATAACAAGAACATTTTAAGATGAATTATTGTTTATTTATTTATTTATTTCTTCATTTTTATGGGATGAAAACGTTTCTTTGTACGTCGACACGAGAAGAGTGGGAAAGTCCACGTCAGGAGTAATCGAGTTAGAGAGAAGGAAGATAGGTAATGGCACGGGACGAAGACGTATCGATTCGTTAATCAGCTTAGTAGTTATATGGGTTTATGTCTAAAATGCTAAACTGATTAAAATAAATATGTCCGGAATTTATTATTAATTAATTATATAATAAGTAACGAATAGAGGAAGATAAGAGAATTCGTTTTAAATGCTCTTCGTCGGATGCAACTCTTTCCGTAATTAAAGACAGGAGATTTTTAAACGAAAACTGATGCGATTACGTCACTCGTGAACACCCGTTTATTCGGAATTACCTTCGAGTGTCGCCATCTGACGGAGCGTATTCGAAATATAAGAAATGTATACGTCACCTTCGATTACTAGTCCGTCCGATCTTACGCACTGGATGACGTTATTCTTTAATTTCCAGCCGTAGGTCAAACAAGGACCGTCTATTAAAAACACAAATTACAAATTAGAATAATAATTTTTATATTTGAATAATTGCGACTAATTACTTACCCCAACAAGGTCTTTTTTCCCATAATACTTTTGGACAGGTTTCGTGCTTCCCGGTTGCATTGACTAAAATAGCTCTCGATCTCGTTCGGTATCCCACTGAAGAAAGTAAATTTTATAGTTAATATTTCGTCCGCTAGATGGAAGCACTTTTCGATGATACTTTTTGTGTGTCTATTGTGACGTTGTCACTTCAATTTTTCGTCACAACTCACTTAAGTTTAGTAGTGTTCCCCCTGTATATTATTCTTTTCCTATTAGAAATGGAGTCGTCCGGTCATCTATTTAACTTTTTAATTAAAATAACGTAATTTCCGGTACAAACCGGAAGTTTATTTATAATTAATCGGATCCTTCTCTTCCTATTCTCTCCATATATGGTCACGAATTTCACTCAATTAACTTCGTTCTTGAGATTAAGGAAGGACGGACAGACAGACAGACAGACGACAGTGGGAATTTATAGATCTACAAATTTTACAAACTGCAGTCCAAAAGCAGAAAACAATAAGACTTACACTAAGCTAAAGTATTATTAAATAATTACTAAAACATATTACTAATGGTATTTTAATTTTAATTTTATTATTGAATTAACAAGTGGTAAAAATCGATCAAACAGAATAAATATTTATTTATATCTGACGATTTCCAATGTAAAATTTCAAAAGTCATAGCAGAGAAGAAGAGAGAGTTAATATCAACAACACTGTCGAGAGCAGGAATAGCTGGAAGTATTTTACAGTATAAATGTTGAACAATCTTATTGCTTGTACTTTAAAGTTTCCTTTGTCATATTTTCTTTAGAAAAATAATTTTAATTAAAATCGTTTCCATTATAATCGAGATTCTCTAAATTAATTCTTGCTAATTTCGATCACTGAGAAGGAAAAAGTACGTGTTCTTTCATACTGTCACTGTCATCTTAGTAGCTCGGATGTTTCATTTTATATACTAATGAGGAAATAATTCATAACTTTAGCCAAAAAAAAAATTCATTCTAAGTAAATTTCTTAATGACACAATTTGAAAGTAAGTTAATATATTATGATTATTTATGACGAAATAATGATATAAACGTTTGAGTGATGTTTACCATAGAAATTTAGCATATATTTTGTGAATGTTCTTAGTTAATTATTCATTATATTACTTATTAATCAGTCGACCCCCCTATAACACTGTTGATAATTTCGTTTTATATGAATTCCATGTTGTACGAGTCACTTATATCTTACAAATACGTGAGCCGTTCACAGCCCGGCACACGTATTTGTAAAATCTAAGTGACTCGTACAACATGGAATTCATATAAAACGAAATTATCAACAGTGTTATAGGGGGATCGACTGTATTATGCAATTAATAAATAGCAGCTGTTATTGTTATTCTTGTTACATCGACTTGTGTAACGTTCAATAATGTTATCGCATAGAAACGATTGGAGTAAAATGATGAGAATAGTTTTTACTACGATAATAAAATTTTTCAATTATATACTCTTACATATATTTGTTAATTATATATTAATTAATACTACGCGCCAACGACGTAACTGTAATTTTAAAAACCCAGTAAAAGTTTATTTGTGGCTTCCACCGATCGGAGGATAATGAAAATTGCATTGTTTTAAAAATTATTGCTGTCGAAGATGAACCTAATTTTTTTTTTAATCTCAGTTGATTTAGACGTTTTAAGCTTGCTTTACATATTTGTATTTAAATTGTTATATTAGTTAATTTATTAAGAATAGATTTAGATAACATTTACATGATATTTTCTAATAGATTTCCAAACAGTTTCAGCTAATAAAACAAAATAAAAAAGGTGTTTTTAATAAGTTTTACAATAGAAACAATTAAAAATTATTTTTTTTACTTTAAAATTTAATTATTATATAACATCAAAGAAAAAAAAATTATATAAAAACAATAAAATAAGAGAAATAAAAATGAAATTTCAGTTTTTCTGTTGTATGGTGAGCGAAATCAGATATTAGTTTATCTAAATCTAATTTTTGAGCTGATGCGTTTTTCGATAAACAGCATAAAACAATTTCAGTCTCTATTCTTTTCTGTTACCGCTATTTCGAGTAAGCTTATAAGTTTTAATTAATCTCTATGCTGCAGCTCTACTAAAATACAAGAATACAATTATATACAATTATAGATATTACAAAACGTTAAAATAATGTATATATAAAAACTTCGATTATTGTAATCAGAATTCGGATATAGTTATCATTATCTTTCGGTAAATGTGTAGTTTTAAGCTGTCTTTACAACATATACAGCGATAACACAATCATTGTCAATTATTGTTATCACTTAACAGTGTTTTAAACATTAAATGTTAATCGCGTTAATCTCTATTTATTATAATTGTACGGTACGTTAGTTATTATTAAAGATGGTACCGTGAAAAAAAACGGCAAATAAATTATTGATAATGAATAAATCTATGTATAAAATTATTGGAAATTTCCAATAATTGTAGTTTTGTTTCTCTTTATGTTAATGTTTTCATTTGGTGATGATTAACTGTTTAGTAGAGTCCCAAAATGATTACAATAAGCGGATTCTATTACCGAACATAGAATATATAATGATTTAGGAAGACCGTAGATCAACTATAATTTTGAAGCTCTAGCAAACAACCAAGAAAAAAACTTTTGAAAGAATGATCAACAAAAACAATATAATTGTGTTATGAAATTGTATTACAGGTATTAGCAATAAATCAGCAGTTTTATCAGTTTTTATGAAAGGTACAGCTTTAACAACTACATAGAAAAATTACTTCCTAAATTCTCAGAATAATGCTTTAGTAAAATATCTTAAGATTTTATTGTAGTATTTTCTGACAAATTTAAATTTTTCGTTGCATAAAATTAAATATTTAAAAAATCTGCAACATGTCTATAGGAATAGCTTTAGTAACGTAAATAGTAACATAATCCAAATATATTAAATCAGTCGACTCCCCTATAACACCGCTGATAATTCCGTTTTATATGAATTCCACGTTGTACGAGTCACTTAGATCTTACAAATACGTGTGCCGGGCTGTGAACGGCTCACGTATTTGTAAGATTAAGTGACTCGTACAACATGGAATTCATATAAAACGGAATTATCAACAGTGTTATAGGGGAGTCGACTATACATAAAATAGTCTACTATTACCGAAATTTCAGATTTTCTTATAACATATTCTATGTATCATTTCAATTTTCTATAAGATGTTTGCATCTTTTAAACATTTCAAGCATTTTATATCAGTAAAAAAAGAATGAAGTCAATGTAACGTACAGTATATAATAATCTCCATATGATCTGTATATTGTTTTTAACCTTTACACAAACATTAAAATATCAATAATTAGTTTGGTGCCTAAAACAGACAACCTGTTTAATAATTGAAATTTTCGGAGTGATAAGAAAGCAAATTTTTACTGTTATATTTTAAATTTAAATGAAAAAGTCATCCCTTCGTTAACCAAAACATATAATAGCAATAAAATTGAACAATACACAAAAATCACAATAGAGACATCGATTTCTATCAAATATCACTGTATAAACAAGTAATTTAGGCTATGAATGGATAATGTGAATATTCTCACTACACTGTTAATCTTTGTTTGTTCGAACTGCTTTTCTTGTCAAATTATTTTCCAAAGTAATGAAATTGAAAAGCCTATACTATCAGGATAACAGAGCCGTAACGAGCATTTATAGTGCCTTGGGCAAATCTTTCATTTGGCAGATAATTCGACACTATTATCCACAAAGTTCATTACGACTGACATTATTTTCGGCGTTTGGGTAATAGTTACATTAACTTCTACACCACAATGAGCTTCTTCTGACAAAAATAATAGAAAAACTAAATGAGATGGAAACACTGATCTATGAGTTTCGGATTTTTATTAGCTAACTAAATGTGATTTCCAATAATCATACATACCATCTTGACAATCATATCTTTTTTTTTCTTAAATATAAAGAAGTATAATCTTTCCACTTATATAACAATAATTAATTTAAAACAGTAAAAGAAAACCAAAATTCTAAAACAAGAGAATCTAATAGGTAAAATTATACATAGAAACGTATAAAAAATGCTGAAACGGTAGCAAAAACAGAGAAAAATAATAATCAACGAACCTATTAATTTGAAAAAAAAAGAGAGAGAAAGTATTCGCGACGAAATGATTTAAAATGTCAGCGATATGGAAATTGAAAGAGAATCTATTGCCAAAAATTAATTCTGGAATCTTATAGAAAATTGATAAAAATAAAATTAATGATCGTTTATCCTGGAGAAGATTTTTATCTGTAATTTAACTATTTTTAAATTTAGAAATTTAAGCAAGAAAAAGAATCGAATCGTAAAATTTAAGTTATTGCAATTTTTTTTAAAACATTAATAAAGTAATTTAATAGATAAAAAATGCAAAAATGCAATAGAGGAGTGAAATGGTGTAGAGAAGAATAGTTTAAGAAAATTGAAAAAAATAGCTGTAGAAAATTGAGAACGCATCTCTTTATGAAATTTCAATAGCAATTTCATGAAGTTGCATTCTCGAGAAAATAATTTACAATCGTTTATAGAAAGAAATGATTATTTTTTTCTATAAATCATTTCTTTATGATATTCTATAACCGATAAGAACAAAGTATAAAATTATTTGTTATTTAAACAATAAGGAAAATCAAAATCGTAAATAAAGCCATTCTTCTTGGGATACTGATTTAAAATTAGTTGAGTCAAAGGTTGGATTGAAAGTTTTGTAAAAATTTTTTTGTTTATAAATTATACTTAATGAGTTTTGAGAATGGCATAAAGCTGAACATAATGGAGATTAATAGCTATTGGATAATGTAACAATTTATACACAAATCATAACTTATATTAAGTTAAATGGGTTCTTTGGTTTTAACACTTTCCGTCTTAAGAGCGCTAAAAAAGACTCTCATCATTCCCATTACGGGTTTGACCAGGCTCATTATAAGAATGCCAAGGGATGAGTGAAGGATCCAAGACATTTATGAGAGATTCCTTTGGCTCCCTGGATTCGATCTACGGCCCCTAGAGGAGCAAGATGGATCCTTTACCATTTCGGTCATCCGGCAATCAATGTAAACCTGTGATTGGTAATAACGTTATCTAATCAGTTACTTCATCAATTCTTTATTCATTACGCAAATATGTTGAATAAAATATTTCGAACAGCTGAACAAAAGATATAAATTTGTCCATGTTCATATTTTAAAGTTATCAAATCCAAAACTGATATATTTTATTAGGGATGTGGAAAAAGAAAAGATATATGGCAGCATGATAATGTGTGATAAACTATCGTTGTGGAAATTCGGATTTCAACGTGTTTCTGTCTCCAAAATATATTATATCATGTTCATGATGGATCGGGGCATCGTTGTTTTACCACTTATCTGTCTTTACGTCGAATATACTAATTATGGGCGGTCATAAAATCTATAATAGGGATGACAAACGTTTGAAGAATTCTCCTGCACGCTACGTATCAAACGAATGTGTTTATACTTTACTATAATATATAATATTTACAATAATAATTATTAATTATTGCGAATAGTATAGAATACTTGAATTACTATAGTATTAATTATAACACTTCAATACAAAATAGGGCCAATTCCACAATCGTTTCAACAAAGTCATTCTAATGTTACGTAAACGACATTAAAATTGCCTAATTTAATTCTAATTAATATCAAGCTCAGTTTTTTTTATTTTCTAATTTTATGTTCATATATAATCCTCTTTTAAATCAGTATTAAATTTAAATTTTCGATCAATTAAATTTATATAATTAAAGTATTAAAAAAAAAATAACTGCAACATCATCGGGACTGGCGAATATGATTAGTAGAGAATAGGATTTCTATAAAATAAGTCATAAAGCCGACACGATAAAGAAGGACATAAATATAAAATAAAGTAAACAGAATTATTCCATTTCCTGTAAAATTTTATGGATTTATTGCTTATATATTTGAACTGATATTTGAAAATTAAATAAACTTCTTTACAACGATAAAGATATCGTGGATCGTTAATCGATAATAATGATATTCTATACGTATAAATTTATATTGACCACACTGATTCATTGACTCACTCGCGGAAATACAGTCGACTCCCCTATGACACTGTTGATAATTCCGTTTTATATGAATTCCATGTTGTACGAGTCACTTAGATTTTACAAATACGTGCGCCGGGCTGTGAACGGCTCACGTATTTGTAAAATCTAAGTGACTCGTACAACATGGAATTCATATAAAACGGAATTATCAACAGTGTTATAGGGGAGTCGACTGTATTTGAGTGCCAGCCAATTTCTTATAGAAAAATAAAATGGTGCTATCGAAAGGAGATTTCTCGTACGTTACCAGAAAAATTCAAATTTTTGAAGAAGTAAAATATTTTATATTGTATAAAGCATCATGTTTAACACCGAGCGCCTCGTAAAACGTAGTGACATCAAAACGGTGTATTTTAAGAGCCATATAGCTATTTTTAAAACGGTTATTATTGTACTTTTATAAACAGTATTGTCTTGATATACATGACATTAATTATTATTATTACTTTAACTTTCTTTGCCTTTAAGTAACCTACTAAAAAGGTCTTTTAATGAAATCAGTGTGGGTTCGATTAGGTTCACAGGGATTGCGATCAAAATCTGGAAACAATGGAAGCCCGATATTCTCATTGTTCCTATCAGTCTTGTTTCAATGACAACTTTTATGTTTCTTGAAATTTCGAGGGACTTTCTATTGATATTTTTGTATAGTTTAAGTAAAAAAGAGCATAACAGAAATTTAACATATGTTTAATTGTTGGTTTCATAGATTGTTCTCTGTGCCAAAAATAAAATTTGCTTTATAATAATTCATAATGTATTAATACACAATACTAGACTGTATAATCTACTGGTATAATATTTTAAATCTGTACTTTTGTAAGTCTACGCAACCACTTCTTATGTGAATTACGTGAACCACATTCGAATTCAAACTTTTTTTTAGAACAATCCATAAATTTTTAATGGTTAATTAATTAACTATTATGTTTTACAGCTAATAAATTAAATGAATGGAGCAAAAAGTATCAAAAACAATATTTAACAATTATCAAAACGAATTTTTTTTTGTAATTTGAAATAGTTATAATTCCAATAGAAAACAAAATAAGATAACGAAAATTTCTTGGCAGTTCTCTTCGACACTGAGTCATTACACAGACATTTGTTCGCGCGAATTTGATAACCATTGGTTATATAACGTATCAAATTTTCATCTGAAGTGATTTTGACTCGTCGGGCTATATTGATTGTATTGGAATATTGACCTGTCAACCTTTTAATCCTGTCAGAATTTCGAATCAAGCCAGGGACAGCTGAATAATGAGGGATAGGGCACGACATATCGGGACACAGCTCATGAATAATTCCTAAAGTTCTTGGCCCAAACTTAATCCCCAATCGTTCATAGCAATATATCAGCTGTTTATTAATTAAGAATTATTACAAATTTCAAGAAAAACGGAAAATTTGACCGGCTCTACAAAAAATAATAAAAGAATCACAGTTTTGTACATACAGTCGAACCCCTATAACACTGTTGATATTTCCGTTTTATATGAATTCCATGTTGTACGAATCACTTAGGTTTTAGAAATATGTAAGCCGTATTTGTAAAATCTAAGTGACTCGTACAACATGGAATTCATATAAAACGGAATAATCAACAGTGTTATAGGGGGGTCGACTGTGTACAGAAAATTAGAAGTTTCGTATTTAAATGAATACTAGAAATGAAATTCATATCTTGTAATGATTCCAATTCTAAATAAAATAAAAATAGGTAATATTATTTTTTTTTAATTTATAATTTTTCTTAGTTATGTATATACAGTATTATTATTATTATTATTATTATGTTGGGTTTAATGGGTTATACTCGGTTCACACCGGTGGCTGTGTACTATGCCGGACCAGAGTCAAGGCATAGCAACCAAAACAAAACTAAAATTAAAAAAGTGTGTCAGTGTCTGTATTCAGGAATTTCCTAACAATGTGGCATGTATTCAATATAGTGGCCTTCTGTAGTGTTATGTATGTATTTCTACTCAATTCTAATGTTCCCAGGCTTTTGTGTAGTGTGTGTGGTATCACACCTGTACAGGAGAGAACAACAGGTACAATAACTACCCTATCCATCCTCCACAGATGCCTGATTTCCTGGACAAGTTCTGTGTACTTGCTAATTTTTTCAGTGCATGTGTTTTGTACATTGTGAGTGTTTGGAATGGCTATGTCTATAATGTATGTGATTTTATTGTGTTTGTTAATGAATGTATGTGATTTTATTGTGTTTGTCAATGTTATTATTATTATTATTATTATATGTTCTAAAATGTAAGAATAATTGTTTTGAATTATCATTACATATTTGGTTAAGATATACGTACAGTACATATATATTAATTTTATAATAATCATTTTCACTAAATCATCGATTAATGTTGCTGCTAATGACTATTGATTGTTGACAGTTATTTTATTAAGATAGATGGTCAGTTAAATAGATGGTGATGAAACTTAACACTAGTAAAGTCAGCAAAGTACTTTCCGATTTGAAGCACTCGGGGAATTTAGACACGTTGTCTAACAATTAAATTTGTGATCGGACAATAATCTGAACAGAATCGAATATGTCATTACTTTATCGATTCAAAGATTTACTATAGATTTAAACGTGCTTTAGGGATATTTAAATATAAAATTTTGTTATAGTTTGCGTGTACATAGAAGATAATTAGGATATACATTTATCTATTCATTTCTTAATTTTAATCTAAAATAAAAATCATTTAAAATGAATTGACAACTTTCACTTGTTTAAAACTAATTAAGGTACTTTATATTATATTTCGGAAATTACAGGCGTAAAGAATTATTAGTCATTTAAAATAATAATATTTATTAAAAATAATTTTAACACGCAGTGAAAGTTAATTCTGTCATAATTTATACGCCTTATTTGAGCACTTTTGTAATTGCCAACGTTATAATGTGATTTGATATTCGAGAAAAACACATAAACTAAAATAACGGTCTACGTGTTCACTCTCTCTCTCTCTCTCTCTCTCGCTCTCTCTCTCTTCATCACTCATAGTCACTGAAGGACCTTAGCCTCATCCAGGATTTTCACCCATTCCTCTCTATCTTGGGCTTTCCCTTTCCATCTTTCTCAAATCATCCTCCACATCCTCTTCCCATCTCTGTCTACGTGTTCACATCGAGCATAAAAAGATTGAATTAAGATACTAAAAAAATAATCAAATTAAACCTCAGTTAATGATATTTACAAATTACGTCTACGTAAATAAATTTTAATTGAATTTATCGTGAAAATTATTTTTTTAGATAAATTAACATGCAAATTTTCACCCACTGAACACTGGCAATTGATCTTGAGTTTGCGCCCGTTTACTTGAATTAATACCTAAATAGAGGCCAGTTTATAAAGTCCTTCGCAGAGGCAACTCTTCGGTTGTCATCCCCCATAAATCTTATAAATTTCATTTAACTTCATCTCATTCAAGTTAATTATTTTCAAAAAAATTCTAATTTTAATTTGTCTTCAACAAATAAACCCAGGAATTATTACTATGACCTTACGGGTTGTTCTGAACGCATTTTCCTGCTTTAATGATACAGAAGAATTAATTTTAATTCGCGTAAATTGCGTAAATCCGGAAACATGATCCATGCGTAAATCGCGGACGTTGTACATTTTATATTTATGACATAATTTAAAATTAATGATGTCGAAATGGCATCCGTAAATAAATATTGAAGGAAGAAGAATAAAGTGGCTAGATAAATTGATATAAATATTTTAGCTTTTTAATATTTAACATGTAATTTTTCATGTAAATCAGGGTTTTTACTCACCGTAAAAGAAATATACTTAGATTGTTTTCTTTTTATTGTTAGAAAATAAATGCTGTATTGTCTGCTTACACTAAAGAATAAATATGTTCCGTAATCCAGATTTTATACACACAAGAATGACTTTTGACTCTAATAGTTATTGTTAACGAAACACGAGTTTATTATTACGTATCACACAGCAAATACAAAATTTCATGTAAAGAATTATATTTAATTAAAATTATAAATATTTCATCGAATTATGAATTTAATTAAGACATTGGTAATAAATTTAAAATTCATTTAGTGTTAGAAATAATCTATTTTTAAAGAAAAGTGCAAACCGATTAATAAAATGAGAAAATTCATTGATATTTCAATGATAATGATGCTATTATATGGAAATAAAAATTACCTATTTTTGGCAGCACATTTCTCGAATAAAAGTGGATTTTAAAACACATTTACGCTTACACACTGTAGCTTATATCTTTGAGAAATGAGAAGAGATTGAAAAAGAAAATTGTTTCATTGCGTACACTGCAGTGTCGTGCAGTCCTTGGAAGCGGTGGAAGCGGCGCTTCCCCTGTATTTTATAAAATACTGTATAAATACATATTGCGAGATTATTTTCATATTTTAACGTACTTTGAATTAATTAAAATTAATATTTTATTATAACCGCATTATGTATCTTATCACAAATTTCTATACTACATGTGAAAAAACAATAAGATTGCTATTGTATATTCAAATATCAGTGGTGGAATGGAAGCTCTGTATTGTCAGCTTCCAAGCAGCCAGATTATACTCATTATCCCATGCGCTTTACAGAGCACCAACCTCACCCGGTTTAGATGATGGAAGCTACACATCAAAATATTGTATAACGCTTCCAATGCTTCTATCCAGGACAGGTTCTGGGTCGTTAGCCGCTTGCCCGCTAGATATTTGGCCACCCTCGCCCCATTATGTGAATCACGAGTAGATTTATAACTTAACCCAACCGATAGGAATTTACTGGTATGTTTTTACGATAGTTTTGTATAGTTGACAGGAGTTAAAGAAAATCCATTAAAATATTTGATATTTTTATTCCGCTCTCCCATCTTATATTACTTGCGGATTTCAATGTTAAACCGGTGATATTACGATTTTGTATGTCACATCGATAAGGGGATGCAGAAAAAAACGTGTACAATTCTTGTACAATGTTAAAAAATTAACTGTTACTTTGGCAGCATCATTTACAACCAAATTTAATAAATGAGACACACAAGGTACAAATAAAGCTCTAGAATTTATATTATTTAAATTTACGATTTATGTATTTGTTGTCATAAAAATTTGTCTTTCCACTTCTTTCCCGAGACTACAAATATTCGAGTACAAAGTAACCGGTTTCGACTTATTTCTACTTAAAAAGTAGTTAAATAATTAAGAGATTAGGGAATTAGGAACATAAATAAAACCCCTTCTGAAAGAGCCGGAATTTAATTTAATTACTTAAAAGCTTAACCGAACCAATCTCTAGCCGAGTACAGTGGGGACTTGATTTCTTCGTAATATTAGATGTAATAAAGACAGAAATTTTTCCAGTTAAACGAGAGTGACCGAAAAGTTATAAATTTTGGAAATTTCCGTGGACACCTGGTACTAAAACGAATTAGTTAAAAACAAATGAAGGACAATCTATTAAGTTTAACATATTTAGACTTTTACAGCGATGGCGAGAAACGTTTAAAATCTACAACAATCCTGTCGAGTTCTTTGAATTATAGGCCTACTAGTGATGCGACAAAAGAGGCATTTGACATTAACCGGTATCGATTTAAATAATTTGAATAAAGTTGGCAAAAGACACGAAAATCGTAAATGTCGCATCGATTCTTTCGTAAAATTGAAGCAACTTGGAAATCAAAGCGGAATAGAATTTAACGTTAGTAAATAATATAAAATAAATATTGAAAATTATAACAAGATAATTACGGCTAATGGATATATTATATCTAAATTAATAGACGTTATATGTTTTTTTTATCAAAGAAAGAATTGGCATTTAGAGGAAATCTATTGAATATACTAACAAAGGTAATTATACATTAAGTACGTCAGATAATCTATTAAAAATACATTTAGAGAAGTCTACGGTTTTTACTGGCTTATCGAACAAACGAATACGAATGAACCCTGACGCGCAATTAATTGATTGCCCCTGGAAGTCGGCATCTTACAAAAACACAACTTCCCTATCATCAAATGTCACTGCACGCCACCGGCGTACAGTACATCAGAATTATACAAAATACGTCATACACATAAAAAAAATTCTCTTGTTTCTATGTTTGTATCAAAGATAAATCTTTATTTCACATATGTTTTTAAATAAACTGTTGGCTACAAGAAATTTTCCACGAAGTATTATATATATTATTGATAAATAATATACTATTGTATCTACTGTGTCAAAGTACAAAAACTAAAAATTTGAATATTGAAGACGAATATATAATTTTTTTTAATTAAGCAATAAAACAAAATATACGAGAGAATCAATTCAAAACAGAGAGAACTGTAAAAATATCCAAAAATCCAGAGTAGAAAAGTTAGAATGTTGATTCACCTTTAGATAAATAAAAGATGATGAGATGATCATAATCATCTTTTATTTATCAAAAGATTAATGGAGTGATTAGAAACAATTGGAAATGATATTGGCATTTTTCTCTTCCCTAAAGTCTATCATTTGCTAATTCATAATTTTTTGTACAATGAAAGAATTTATGTTTTTGTTCTTCTTGCTTTTTTGCCTTTTATATTATGGTATTGATAATGAAAAATTAAAAAATATCAGATCTAACGAAATCCTTCAAATTTCATTTAAGGAAAAGGTAAAATATATTGGTATTATTTAATTCGATTTTTGATAACGTTTGAATTAAATTATGATAAGTAGAGAAATTGATTGACGAATCGGTAAAAGATTGGAATATATCGTATGATATTGCTTCCGAAAATGATAAATATGTAGAAAATTATAAAAACGTTTATAAAAACTTACCGATTTCTTGTTTTAGACAGTTTCTATGGCAGGGACTCCATAATGACCACGAGGAAAGAATGCATCCCCCGGGACAAGGCACATGGCATAGCTTGCTTTCCTTTACACATAAATATATGAATACTTTATTAATTGTTTTAGAATGCAAAAATACATTAAAATGTATGTACATACATTTTAATTTTCATATGTAAGCGAGAAAAAAGGAAGCTAATAAGATTGCTGTCGAACTTTTATGAATTAAAATGTATCTGTATCATTCTGTTTTTGAAATTTCTGACCATTATGCTTATTCAAGCAAACTTACATAAAATTTTCACTATCAGAAACAAAATTTTATCAATTGATTCATTGAAAAAAGAAAAAAAAACACAGCAATTTGAAAATAATTTAGGATCAATTTTCTTTTCAACAAGTATTTCATTCAACGACAAACACAATCGCATTAATTACACTTCCGAGTATTATGAAGCAAATCATCAACGTGAATTACATACAATTCCCAATGAGAAACTCTAGACTCACAGTTAATTCAGTCCAACCTTATACATCTTTATTTTTCTTATTAATATAATATACTACAATATATAATTCGAGTTTATTTTAAAACATTTCGTGAATGCTTTCTGGAAATATTTTTAGTCTAAAATATTAAAAGAAATTGTGGCCCGTAAGATGAATTTCTACAACTTGAAAGAAACTACAAAAGAGTATTGGTGATCACAATCGAAAAATCTAGCAAGGAGTTAATCTCAATACTAGAACAGAGTTTTAGATTTTACGAACTTAATACAGGGTGTTTATAAATGAATGGTGCAGTTTTAAAAATTAATAATAAATCTATTTATTACCTTATATGGATAAACCTTACGGCATAAGTAGCGGAAACTGTCCAAGTTCACAGGAATGTCCAAGTTCACGAGCTTCTTAATCGTATTCTTCACCAACGCTGGATTGGACGTGGTGCAACAGCAGACAAAAACCTGCTCCCCTGGCCAGATTTAACACCCTGCCATTTCTTTTTGTGGGGGTTTGTTAAAAACCGAGTTTGTGTATTGTCAATGTCCGTGTTCCTAGAGGAACTGTGCACTTCAGACCATCACGGAGGACACGCTATACCGCGTATGGGAAGAATTTGATTACCGTGTAGATGTATTACCATGGGTGCACATATTGAAGGATTGTGATTAATACATAAAGAACTTGGACAGTTGCCGCTGTTTAATATTTTGAAAAACTAGAATCAAAACATATAGTATATTAATTTCTATCTTATTTACGATCATATATAGGCTATATTTTCATAAAATACAATATTAATACCATATTTAAAAGTGGTGAAGCTCCTTTAATTAGTTACTGCAGTTATTTTAACATTCAAAACAAAATTCTATAGAAAACTAACTATTTTTAAAGATAATCGTAAATATTAAAATATGAAAAATAATTTCAAAAAAATTTTATGGGAGATGAAACGATTTGTTAAAGCAATAAGTTCTGCATAAGAATCTAAAAAATTATACCTACACACCGTATTTATAGTTTCTTAATGTTTATCGCACCTCATATTGAAAAAAAAAACCTCTAAAATTTGAAGTAATTTGCATGACTATCGAAAATCAATTAATAAAATTCTGTAACTAATTAAATTACCTTCTCAATCACTTTACTAATAAGATATTAGATATTGCATCAATTGGACAATAGGTAAATCACATAATCATACAATAATATATTTCTTAAAATTTGAATTATTTATATTTTTTCAAAAAAAAATGTAGGTTTTTATCCAAATTTAGATCCTATAGACTAAAAAAAAGAGGGAAAAACTAAGATTACAACGATAAAAACGACAAAAATGGAAATTTTTTGCTAAAAAAAATTAATTCCGGGAGTTTTTTCCAAAGTAAACAAGTTAAAATTTAAAAAAGAAATAAAATATTAGTCTTTAATTTCAGATGCTTACTTTAGTGTTAAAATTCAACAAAAAATATGTAGAAAATAAGATACGCTTACGAGAAGATTCTTTGTATCAAGAACACAAGATTTTGTCTCAGAGGATACAATATATTAGATTTAGATCAAATAATCAATCAATTAATTGGATAAAATTATGTTTGTTTCTACTTATACTATATTTATCGATCTTCATGAGAGTGAATAATAAAAACAAGCGAAAACGCAAGTACCCTGATAAACTCGCTCTTTCAAACAATAGAACGCCTGTACACGGCTTAAAGAAAACTGAACGGCCGCCTCGTAGCCCGCGGCATATAAATACTTCAATGTAACAACTATTAAAATAAATTTAATCTTACCAAATATATTTCTTTTTATAAAAGTCTTATTTAAAAAAAGGGGGAAATAATAATATAAATTTCAGAACAGCAATTGCACCTACGAACAACATATAATAACGATAAATAACAACAATAGGCCTATATCAGATACAAAAACGTTAAACAACGAGTTGCGTAACTTTTCCAGCAAAAAGGTTAAGATTAAGTCCGACCCCCACTCGAGATGTGATACATGATCCTGTATTTCTCCATCTCTTGACCTTTATCCACCAAAATTTAATAACATTAATACCCTAATACACAATCCTTCCTACAAAATTTAATAATTTTGCATAATGAATTATAAATTTGATCGATTTTTAAGTTTCGAATAATAATTATTAGGATCGATCAATCATCACAATAAAATCCATTTAAAAATATTGAAATATATTCACATCCTCCCTGTAAAATTTAAGATATTTTCGACAAAACGGACAGGAATTATTAAGCTTCAAAGTGGGTAAACAAACTCATACCCTCCCCCACAAATACACAACTAACATCTATACATACATAAAACAAATCAAAATTTTTTGTGTTATATATAACAGCCGGAAAAATAATTGTAAATAATTACGTATTAGTAATTATTATTCTTGAAAAGTTATTATAAAATGTTTTAATTCGTAAGAGTAATTGATTTTTTTACCTTAACGTCAAATACTTCTTCCAACCAACGCTCGTCCATCCATCCTCCGATGGATTCTGATATATTGATAGTTAAACAATAACTTTTATGAACAGTTACTCCGTCGGATCTTATACAATTAACTTTTCTGTTGGTTATTCCGTAACCGCATTCGCCTTCCTTAAAAAATTAAGAATTTCTGTAACAACTTTTATAATTTAAAAAAAAGAAATTATTCACGCACTTCCTTACGTTTAATAAACAATTAGACCAATCTCCAAGAGACCAGTGATAACAAGGCTGGTGAGGGCAAGGCATTCTCTGTATGACATCGGAAGGACAAGGTTTACCGGTTTTACTGTGTTCCTGTATAACCGTTCTGGTTCTCCATCTTTCTCCTTTTGATAATAGAAAATGGCACGCAGATTTGTAAATTGTAAATAGCTCTTTTTTTTAAAAAGAAAAAAAGAAAGAAGATATTTATTTACCTTTGGAAGCACACGGTTTGCATTCATTGTCATTCCAAGAAGACCATTTCGACATTTCGCAATCAATGGGACAATCCACGAAACACGGAGTGCTTATCGAATGAGCTTTCAGCTAATTAACAAAATTTAGTTATACCTTAGTTTCAGTTTTGTTTTCTGAAATGACTCGATCTCACCTGACGACAATGATCCGGACTGACGATGCTTCCATCGTTTCGTTGACAATTGATAGCCCGATGGCTCGTACCCCATCCGCAAGAAGATTCTTCGGGGAGAATACAAGAACTCCATTTTCCTATTTTCCATTTGTAAAAGAAACAGTTGGTCTTGTGGCAGGCTTCTTCCTCCGTCAACGTTGGGCATTTCCTACCAGATGAAGGTAGAGCCATCCTTAGCACGGTTCTATTTCGATATCTTTGTTGAAAATTATTACAGGGCTGCAGAATGAAAACAATTATTATTATTATTATAAATAAAATTTTAAAAAAATTAAAGTCGAAGAACATCTTACTTCACTGCACTGCGTCCACGAGGACCAACTGGAAACCACACAGTCATCCGGACAAGGAACGTAACAGGACACGCTTTCCACCGGTTTATTTAAAATGCAGAATTTATCGTCAACAGTCCGAGAAGTCGATTTATTTATCTTAGTGCAGCTGAAAAGCGAAGATATTTACATATCTAAATTCTATTCCTTTAAACGTAATACTGTTTAAATGCAGGGATGTGAAATTAAAAATCTATTTTACCTAAATACTGTTGTCTGGACCCCTTTTCCGCAGTCTACTCTAGAAGAAATCACTCTACATTCCGACCATCCTTTAAATATCCACTTGTAATCCTCGCAAGCTTCTTCGCAGATACTTTCTTGAATTTCCTGTAAAATAATCATTTGTTGTTGTGATCGATTAATGAATTATAAATTTGATCGATTTTTAAGTTATAAATGATAATTATTCGGAGTGATCAATCATCACAATAAAATCCATTTAAAAATATTAAAATTTTATCATAAAATAAAGTTATAATCTTTATAAAATCTATAATTATTTTATAATATTTTAATAGGAGAGTGTCATAAAGTTTGTAAGAATGTTATTTCATCTATTCGATAAATGTAAATCTGTAGCACGAAATTGTTTGGACTGTTTTAATTACCTTTTTTTATTTAATAATTAATTTTTGTTAATATGATATTATAAGTTTTTCATTATTACAACGCGCTAAATAATGAGATAATTTCAAAAATATTTTGTGAGAAACACCAGGAAAAAACAAAATAATGCTAGTATATAAGCGAGGCATCTATTTCAGTTCACATAAATTTAAATTGTATGACACTGTTTCATTATTATGAAGTTTTATAAATGATTTTTATTGTTTAAAACATTAAATGTAGAGGGAGAGAAAATTATGAAGGCAGTTTATCTATTTTACGGCTGCATTTTCCGTCATGCGTTATCCAGATGGCCGGATGACCGAGGCGGTTAAGGTTTCAATCTATCGCTGTGGGGAATCCGAGTCGAATCCGGGAGAGCAACTCCAAGAATTTATCGAGAATGATCTATCTTAAATCGTCCCACACTACTCGTTCGCTCCCATTGCGAGCCTAACCGAATTTGCAATGGGTATGAAAAATCCTCGTGGTGCTCACAGGGAGGAAAATGTCAAAATTAAAAACAACAACAAAAAAGTATATCCGTATTATATATACATCTATGTATACATCAATCTCTGTAATTAAATACGTTTATTTTCTCATTCACATCAATATAATTCGCTCTATGTTTAAACACTCATCGATCTTATTTAAAATATAACTTTTTAAATATTCGTGAATTAACTACTGATCTCTTATATCTCTTATCAATTTAAAAGATTATAATACTTAATTTATTTAATATCAAAAGTATTATAATGTTTGCAACCTCCCTTTCTGTGGAATGCATAATTTTTCTAGGTGTTAGAACAATGCACAGATTGTGCATGAGATACCTTTTGATAATATTAACCGAAGAATTATATAAAGAAATTTATACTACAATGATTGTCTATATGTAAAAAAAACACTAGTAATATTTTTAATGCATAAACCAAAATTCAAAAAAAACAAAAAAAATTCATAAAAGCAATACAGTCGACCCCCCTATAACACTGTTGAACACTGTTGAACACTGTGTATAACACTGTTGTTTTCTGCTGGAATCAAAATACACAGAAAAGAATGCAAAAGAATTTGGATTTTTGAAGAAACATACCGAGAAAAAAAGGATAAATGATCTCGAAATACAATCGAATGTACAACAAAAGTGTTTACTCCAAAAGTGTTTACAATGGTAGAAAGTATTGCGAAGGAAAGATGTTATCGTCTTTCCTTTGCAATACTTTCTACCATTACTTTAGCGTATTTCTCTCCTACCAGTTCTTTGAGTTTATGAGATACATTAGATTTTTACTCTATGTTATATATTTGGTAAAGAATATTTTATATATAATTGTTTTATATTCATTATTACATCTAGGTATTTAATATAGTCATAGTTAACATAGCATCATTGCTTTATATATTGTTATATAGTAAGGATCTTTATATTAGACTATAAAATTGTTAATTGTATTATCGATTGACTGTGAACGACATTCGAAGAGATATAATTCGGACAAACGTTATATTAAACAATACCGAAATAACTTAAGTAATAATTAATTTACAAAACAATTTTCTTTGCTTAAGGGCTCTCTACTTTACGAATAAATTTGAGAAACTCTGATATAGAGAAATTAGCAGTTACGTCTTGAGTATATTCTTCTATAAGGATAAAAATTCAATTTTTATTCCCTACTTTTATGTATAACTTTTGTGCTCAAATGATACTGTATATTTAGTCTATATAAAACTATAGTTGTAGCTCGAATTCCATAAAAATGTCAGTTACGACACTTGTGCTCCAGACAATCGATACTGTGAAACGTATTTTAATAAATGTAACTGTCATACACTAGCCAATGTATATCGGAATTGCAAGACCGTCGCTTGTATAGAGTCGGGGTCCACGTTTTACCTCTTCGTGGGCCCTTTTAGCCAATGTTTTTCTTTCTTTTAATAAGTGGAATACGTAGGATATTTCTTTATTAATAAAAAAAAACATTTTAAAAGATTTTATTTTCTGTTAATAAAGAAACACCTTAATTTTTAATTTAGTATATTAAATTCTTCTTTATGTATTAAAAAAAAGGAATAAATAAATTATTCTCAATTCTCATTTTAACTATAATCGAGACTAGTATTATTATATTCGTGATATTTCGTTATATAAAATTATATATTACGAAATCTATATATTTTTATACATAAAAAAAGCATGGTTTCAGCAAAAATATATTAGGAAAATATACAGTAACCAAGTATTGGCATTTCAAAAAGAATTCTTAAAGTTTATAGACACGCTTGAATTACTACTGAACCTATAAAAGTCAAAAATAACAAATAAAAATACACTAAAGATTGTACAAAAATAAAACAAAAAAAAATGAAACATTTACTACGAAATATAATATAAATTTTACCAATATTTAAATAATTCTTACAGAAAAATTTCAATTTTGTAATCGAATAATTATAATTTCATTACATCAAAAAATAATAATAATAAAAGATGTTTAACACACTTTAAAATTTTCCATTTATAAAAGCACTTTTGATGTTTCGAGAGTTTTATTTATATATTTTTTCAAGCAGATATTTATATTTTAAGAAGAAAAAGTAATTTATTACAAAACAGTGGTGTAAAAGACTACTTATGAAATTTTAGAACGTTTCATCGAATAAGCGCAATAAGAATAAATTCTGTAAATATTAATGAAATGCACTTAATTGTCCTTTTAGCATGTTATTGGGCTGCAATTTGAAAAGATTGTAGACCTATAAATTGCCACTATCATCCGTCCGTCTTAGACGAATATTAGGGGCAAGAAATCCCGATTAACTATATAAGAACTTCTAAAGAAAACCGGAAGGCGTGTTATTTCAATTCAAAAATTTCTCCTGAAAATAGTTAGATAGATGACTGGCATGACTCGGGTGCTAAAGGAAAAGTATGATGTACAGGGGCAAGACACAATTTGAGATGGAAAGCATATATTTTAAATGAAATAAATTAAAAATTGCAACCCGGTATGGTGACGATGTCACAATAAATAATTTCTCTTTAATTATGATTATAAATATCGTAAGAATTGCTGTTTTAAGCAAGTAGTTCTTAAATCGACTTATCTGAATTTTGTGTTATTGTGTAAAATTGCTAAATATTATTGTTAGGAAAGAAGCACATATATAACTATATCATACGTATTTTTATTTTAATAGATGTATTTCTATATAACTGCTTTTTTTTCTGTACGTTTATTTTATGCATTTAGAAACATTATTTGAGAATAACTTCATGACCTTCACCTGATTGGAAAAGGGGTTCATGCAACAAAAAATACTAAGATCCCTTTGCTTTAAGTATATTTTCTATTATATTTCTATGCGAAAAAGTGTATTATGTGTTTCAATTTTAAATAAAATATCATAACGGAGCCATCACAATTAAAAACCTTTTGGCCGGGAAAGTTAGACAACTCGTTGCTAGATATTTTTTTAATTGGTTTTGCATATTGGAGTGTTGAAGTAGCCTTAAATAAAAGTTCGATTCTAAAAACTATTGTTCCTGGGGTGTGTTGTGCAAAAAAAGCCGTATTATGAAGACATTTATTGTTTATTCTATTTTATTGAATATATTTATGCTTTTACATTTCGTCCTTTTCGTATGATTTAGGATGATCAACAACGGCAGTGACCTTTATTTTGGGATTCCGCTTTGCCTCGATACATTTGTTTTATACATTGAGGCGATAAATAGCCTCAAAATAAAGGTCAACTTTGTTGATGATTTGAATGTGTATGAAAAAGACGACATGTAAAGACATCTTTATTTTATTTTGGGTTTTATTTTAAAGATTGTATTCTTTTAACGCAAACAAATCAGAATTTCAACTTGTTTTCGTACAAAAGGTAACTTATTACAAAAATCTTTAAATTATTTAAATAAATTAAACAAAACGGGATTATTTCCGAGTAATATTCGTTTAAATCTACTTTAAATCTTATAACAAAGAGCGTGATTTTGCATTAATTATCTTATTTTTTTGACAGTTTGGTTATCCTGTTTATCGCATCTATTTCTTTATTCGAAATTCTATCGATTGTAGCCTACCTTTCTCACTCACAATCCTTCTACGCTTGTTTCGTAAAGCTTTATGAAAAGTTTTTTTAGAGTTAAACTATTAAAAAATCCAGAAACGAGTTGCTTAACTTTCCCGGTAACATCACGTGTAGTGCCATTTGTTATGATATTTTATTTTAAAAACTTCTTTTATATTTTTAACAATTATATAATGGCAAAAAGCTTAATTTTGAGAGTAGGGATGGGTTTAATAAAAAAAAAAAAAAATTGTACATGCTAATAACGAGTAAAATGCCGAATCTACTCGAGACACACGACACCTTTTATCTTTCCACCCTTCGACCGTTAATTTAATAGCATCAATTGCCACCAAAATTTAATAGCATCAATTTCCCTAATACACAAACCTCCCTGAAAAATTTCAGAAATTTTCGACAAAAATTACAGGAGTTATTAAGTTTCAAAAAGGGTAAACAAAATCGTTCCCCCAACACACGCTACACACAGGGGAAAAAATGGCGAATTTTTTTGAATTTCTGGACGTTTCAAGGACCCGAGAACAGAAATTAAAAATCTTGGGAGGGTCATTTTTTGATCGTTTGTCGAACTTTTTCTCTTATGCAAAGTTATAGATGACAATTATTTCCGACAATTCGTTGCAAAGAATGACAAAAGTAACACAAAAGAAGAAATATACTCCGGAACGTTATATGAGAAATAGTGTTTTAAATTTTACTAATAGTAAATCATTTAAAATACCGTCAACAAAAAGTTAAAGATGGAGCTAAATATCGGGCGCACACATATATATATATAAAACACAAACATCATAAATGATATAGGTCTATACAGGGCCACCGAGAGCTTGTACGGTGTCTGATCCTTAGCGGGTCCTACTTGTCATTTTTTAACAAATAAAATATATAACTTAAAACGTTTCTTTATTAATAAGAAGAAATCTTAAAGATTTTATTCTTTGTTAGTAAAAATAACATTAATTTATAGGGTAGGAACCCCTATGGGTTTTAAATTTCCCACTGACCCGGGGAAAAATCCCCAGCTTTCCTTCCTCTCGACTTCTCGCTTTTAATTAAAATTTTACTCGAAATCAAATGTGACATTTTGTACAGTAACTTTTAAATTTTGTATAACATTTTAGAAGAATTAAAAATTCAACTTAATGAAAGCAACGAGTTGTTGAAAATATTAGTTAATTAACTGTTGGCTTGTTTAACGGTATACGAAAATACTCCTAGAAATAATATATTAAATTCGAATCCTACACTATCTCCATTCAAGACGGGACAGGGCCGACCCATTTTGTTTCCGTATTTGACCACGTGACGTTGTCTGCGCCTATACCCTTGTCCACAAGAAACGTTACATTGAGTCCATTGGGTCCACCCTGACAACTGGCAAGATTCTGGACACTCCACTAGACACATGTCCCACGTTATACCTGAAATAGATAAATCGATACGTCAAATATCTTATCGCAACAATTCAAAATATTCTATACTAATAAACAGAAGCGAAATAACAAAATTAATAGATAAAGTTTATTTCAGAAACTTTAAAATGAGTTGATAATCGTCTTTATAAATATGGAGAGGGTCGTTAGCGGGTCACTCGTTAAATGTTTATCGACGAGAGCAGATGCTTTGATGTTACATTAATTAAATAAAGGGTTTAGTAAACTTTTACCTGTTTGTTGGCATAAATTCACTTGGTTGCCTCGAATATATTTTTTTCCATTTCCGCAGGTAAAATCGTTCTTTTCGTCGATGATGCATTTAGACCAATGTCCTTCGGGAGGAGCTAAAATCTCCGGTAAAATCGGAGGTAAAGTTTCATTCAAAAGCTCGTTATCACATTTTCCTCCTATAAAATCAAAATTTTAGAATGGAAAAGTTGCTAAGAAAATAAAGTGTTTCTCTATTTACCTATATTTTCTCTTATTCTAATCTGCTGTAGACAATTATTTGTATTGTTTTCTCTCCATAGAGTCCAAGAAGACCATTCGGAAAGATTACACGAATTGTTACAAGAAACGTAACAAGATCTCTCCGCAATAGGAGGTTTCCTTGTAGATAATATTAAGCAGTTATGAACAATCACTTTCTTTCCGTCGTATCGTGTGCAGATTACTCCTAAAGTTAAGAATTCAACTTAGCAAAAAGCTGTCTTATTTAGTAATTTGAAAAGTAGGTTACACTTACTTCTAGTTTGATAACCTCTTCCACATGTCGCTTCTTCTGGCAAAACGCAACCGCTCCAAGCTCCAATGTCCCAACGGTATGCAGAAAGCGTATCATTTAATCTCTTACATTCGTCGTTTTCGAAATGACAACTTCTGATTTCTTCTAAGGGTTGAGGACAAGCTACTCCTCCGAAACGAGGATGTTGCAATATATATCGCTTTCGACGCTGCACAGAACCTAAAATATTTAATATTTTAAAATATATTTTATATTACGTTAAAATATTTGTAAATATGTATAAAAAAACAACCTGGTTTGCAGTCTTTAGGACAAGGCATCCATTCCGTGAAATTACTAGTTACGCAGTCCACAGGACATGGTACAAAACAAGATTGCTGAACAAATGGTTTAGGTTCTGGCATACATCTGATCAAATATATATTTTTTTAAATTTAATTTTAAAATATTTATTTAACAAGACATAAAAAAATCGGAACATACTTTTCTTCCGAAACTAAGGTATTTTCATGAACGCAATTGACGTAACGATTTCGAATCCCTTTTCCGCAAGTTCTATCTTTCGGAACTTTACACGAACTCCATTCGGATTTCTCCCAATTATAACCCGAACAACTCTCGTAGCTACAAAATTCACTCTCAGTTAAAGTATCGGAATCAGGACAAGGTTTGCCACCTGAATAAAATAAATAAATAAATCATTCGTCAGTCTTTTATAGTTGCGCTTTGAGATAAAATGTCGATTTAGATCGATACGTGACCTGGTCCTTCTTTGGCCAAAACGTTTCTGTGTCTGGTTCTTTTCCCTACAAAAGTAGAATTGGAACAATCGGTCGAACAGTGAGTCCACTCCGTCCACTCTGCCAAAACGCAGTCTCTAGGACAGGGTATATAACAGGGAGCGATGAGTTTTGGAGGCAAAACGTATCTTTGGCAAAGAGATGGAGACACTTCCACCTATTCAATCGAATTTACATACATTTTAAATTATATTTAATAAAATTTAAAAGAAATTGCCACAGTCTTAAATTTATTCTCGTATCGATTTCCGAAAGCATTGAAATTATTATTGTTGCAATTAAAAGAAATTTTGCAACTTACTCCAGTGGGAGTAACGCAAACAGCTTCTCTGTTTCTGACCCCTTCTCCGCAGGGTTGCGTGGCATCCCGTAAGAGACATTTGCTCCAATTTCCAGTCAACCATTTTACCACCATTGGCTCTATACACGAATCAACTTGCACCAAAGCGGGACATTCGAGTCGGTCTTCACTCGGTTTCAGGACGACTTCCCTCATTCTCTTGCGATATCCTATGCGAAACATCTTACTACTGTATCAAAACGTAACGTTTCTTTAGTTATATTCCATTTCCGATAATTACCTCCGAAAGATTTTCCCGTATCTTTGTCATCGAAGGGTAAGCAAGCACCCCATGACGACCATAAAGATACCTTACAGTCTCTGGGACATTCGAAATTGCACTGCTGCGTGGAAGACGGTTTGGGTTCTTTGCAGAAAGAATCACCGACTGGAACATAGTCTAAGAAAAATTTCTAAAATTAAATTTACGATTTTGTCGAACTAAGACGATAAAATATTATAAAATACCTTCTAATCTTACACAAAAGACGTTTCTGATTTGTAATCCTCCTCCGCACCAATTTTTGTACGGTTGGCAATCGTTCCAAGTAGAAGTTGACCAATTATATCTAAGGTAATAAAACACGAGCCGTAAATCTCGTATTTACATTGCTACAATATCGAAATTTACTCACAGGCGACTACAAGGTGGCAGTTTGTCGACGAGTCGACGCTTTTCCGTTAAGTGAGGACAGGAAGCTCCGTCACCTTCGGCAAGACGGATCACTTTTCTCCTTCTCTCCTTTATTTCTGGGTGTATTTTTCCAGCAAAAGTGACACATCCCGTCTTCACTAATATCCACTCGCTCCATTCCGTGACGTGGCAATCTTCCGTCACTACGCAACTCTCCACGGAGATGACGGATTCGTTCTTGCAACGTCTCGAGAGAAGACGTCGACACTTTTAGGTTGTCGTATTATAAATTTCCCTAATATAAATTGTTTAAACTTAAAATTTACTAACCTGACATCTGTCGTTTCTCCCATTTTGTCGATGCAGGTCACGTTTCTCTTTCTGTAACCGACGACGGGTTGCCTAGAAGTAGTGTCGTCATTCTCGACGGTACAGGGACTCCAGGGACCGATCTTTAGAACAAAGTCTGTCGGAAGGCGAACGTCTCTTAAACACTCCGTATAAACGGAACACTCTCGGGATTCCGTTAAATGGGGACATTCTCTTCCTCCGTCTTTCGGTGCTACCAACACTGATCTAGTTCTGGTTCTATTGACGGGTCCGCAAACGCCGCAACCGGACCAGTTTCCAAACAACGACACGATACAGTCTTGAGGGCATTTGAGTAAGCAATTTCTCTCTTTCGAAGGCCGGGGATGTAATGCCAGACAGTTAGAGTCTTTTATCGTTCTGTGTAAACTTCTGTTGTGATTACGGACACAATGGACACTTCTTTCTTGCCATCCACTTCTGTCGCAGTCTAACGAAGTGTGCTTCTTGGAGACACAAGCACCCCAATTTCCGACTTTCCATCTAGGTTAATTTAAGGAAACGAAAACTTAGCAGGAAGAGATTAACATAACTAATTTACTGTTCGTGCGAGGTACCTAATAGAATTCTTGTGTCTCTTGCAGGGCACGAAGCAAGTTTGATTTTCCGGAGGCTTTAATTCTAGATCGCAGTTGGACCGAAGCGTCGTTCTGTCGTCACTAATGTCCGAACACCAAACCTTTCTAGTCTGGACACCCTCTCCACATCTTGATAGACTGGAGCATTCGTTCCACGAACCTACCAAACATAACTTTTAATATTTCTTCGGTACAGAAAACCGATTAAATTATTAATAGCTTTAGAATCTCACCCGTTTTCCATACGTAATTCACGAACTGAAGTAACGTTCCGTCGACAATATTGGCCCACTGACACAGCAGCAAGATGAAAATTCTCCTCAAACTGATGACTCTTGTATTCATTTTATTCACTATATTTATGAGAAAAAATTTCATATTATCTCGAATTTCAATTTTATATTACTACTGATGCATATTATAAACATAAATATGATATAATATCTACAGATGAGACGTATCTTTACGTGTTGTTAATAAAGAGTTTTCGGAAAATCTAAGAAAACAAAACTTCTACCTTCCAATGGTAAAGGAAAACGAATTATTAAATCAAATTATACGTAGAGCATCTCGAATTTGTCAAGAATCGCGAAAACAAAGGCGTCAAAGCGGGATAGAATGGCACTTAAACGTCTTTACGTATCGTTAATAACGAAAATGCGAAGGTCGAAGGTGGCACACGAGCGTTACTTTCCTCGATATGTTCGAGTCGGACGAGCGTGACGAGAGTTATCCGATTTTAATCAGAATTCATTAAATTTGGTTATCCATCTATGCAAAATGATAATTAATTACCGCCGAATTAAATTTTGATTATCGAACGACGATAAACGTTCTACTTTGTGAATAATTCACATACTTAAATACACATTGAGTTTCGACCAAGTGAGTGTTAGCCATAAATCGACTATAACGTTGCCACTTATTTTAATAATAATAATAATAATATTATTATTATTATTAATTGCCTCCGGGATAATAACAATAATAATAAAAAGTTAATAAACGGCGAGTGGCGATAGAAGGTGGAAAGGCGCATCTTTTGTAACGACGTGTAACAGCTGACGGCTTTGTCCGTAACCGATATTACTCAACGTCTTCGGTTACGGGTCCGATTAAGTTAATTAAATTCCTTTTAATACAAACCGAGTGTACAAGATTACAAAAGATATTATTATGTCGTTGCTGTTGATATAAGTCTTTTCTTTACTATTCTTTTTCTCGTTTTTTTTTACTCCTTTTTTTTCTATCGGGCATCGATTTGACCAGGAAAACAACTTCCAAGTGGTTTAGATTTTCTAAATAATTTTAATAATAAAAATAGTCGAAGTCAGGCTTTTATTCAAAAATTAAAAACTTTTTATTTTGTAGTAATTATTGTCCCGTTTTGTTAATTAATTTCTGAAGAAAGAAAGATGTGAGAATGAAGGATTAAGAAGAATTCGGGTTATTAATATTACGGCCTGATAGAAAAGAAAGGGGGAAAAGTTGTTCGGTTGTTGTCATGCTAACACTTTTTGAAATGAATGATGATAATATAACACTTTCAGCTTCTATATATATATATAAGTATAGATTAGTTTTCGAGTTATACAGAAAAGAGAAGTGTATAGAAACGTCTCTTACGATAACGACGGTGATGAGGATGTTGATTATAAACACATACTTTTACGTATGATATATTTATCTCGAATTATTAAGAAAACGAAGAATTTTTACAAATATTTTCCGGTAAAAACGCTATAAAATGGCTTAGTCGGTAAATCTCGCAAACACAGCTGCCGAAATGATAAATGGGCACTTCACCGACTTGTCTGACACTCTCTGTCGACTTATTGGCTTACTCTCCGCTAAAACTCCTATCCCGTAAAAAAAAAAAAAAAATACAAAGTGTGGATTTACTAGGGATTTCTACGCTTTCTCCGAGTGTAATAGGTTCCACCCCCCACGAAAAAGAACCTTTAAAGGTATATTTGATGTCACTTTTTTGCTTTTTAATATTTGCCCATTTAGAATTTTTGATTTTTTTTTCCAATACGAAAAAAAATTTGTTTTGAATTTTATTCGTCTCGTCTTAGGAAATAAACCGTTTTTATAATTATAAAGCGATTTTTTTTTTTTGTGAAAAATGTAAACTAATTTTAGCAAAAACTTAAGTTTGCTTCGCTAGAGAATCGTCTTTCTTTATTAATGTTATCGATTCGAAATAAGTTACTTATAAGTTTTTTTTTTTTTATATTAAGACTTAAAAATAATAAGTTAAAGGGAGATAAATAGCGTTAAGAATTTATTATAAAAAGTTGAATCGTGTCGAAAATTTTACTGAAATAAATTCAGTTCTCGGCGTAGAAAAAAAAAAAAAAGATCTATGAGTTAGGTATTGGCCTTTTGTTCTATTGTGTCGATGGAGTTAAAAATTCCCGACATCTTCTTCCATTAACTAAGGAGAGGGGATAAACTTTTATGGAACAATCGCCATTCAAAACGACAAATGATTATTATCAAATGTTGTCATGGAAACTAATATATATCTCTCGTCCGCATCTTGAATTGTCAGATCCGTTTTTAAAGCTCGACAAATTTTTGATTGTGTGTTTTGTTTGGATAAATCACAGTTTTGTTTTCGCTTTAAATAGAAATTGATATAAATAAATCAACATCAAATATACGCAAAAGAAATATAAATTTATATTTAAATATATTTTAAAGTATTATAACCTTAATAAATTCTCCAGAGAATTTCTGTAAAAAAATAGATATAATTGTTTTTATTTTAGTTATACTTTAATACAATTTTATTTAAATATATTTAAAATATTGTTGTTATATAATATCTGTAGAAGTAAAGAGGAAAAAAAAACTATTTGTTTTTGTAAGGAAAAGTTATCTAGTTAGTTTTATAAATATACAAAGCATTCTTCACTTAAAAACAACGTATTTTAACTGTGACAGTAAGCAGAAAACAGTAAAATCTTCAAAGAATTTCGATCAATTTTGTAAAACATCAAAAGTAATTTCTTATTGCACAGAGAATTTACTTGGTTTCTATTTTTACTGTGTATTTTTATCCATCGGTGACTATTTTACAATAATTAATCTGCGATGGACAATCTACTTTTTAATTCACAAATCGGATTTATATTGCATAATTCGGAATAGGAGGGGGGGTTTCTCCGAAAAACGTAAATTCTTACATATTTTAACGTATTGAATTTACAAATTTAATAAACTATAACTTACAAAATAAGGTATATTTGAAAGTAAAGTGATTTCTAACGTAACTGAACATAAACAGAATACAATGCTGAAAGTTAATAATAAATTTCGTGTAAGAATTTTAATTGCGTAATTAAACGGCTATTAAAATATAGTAAATAGTATCAATACCGTTAATTTATATTAACGGCGAATTAAGTAAGAAAATATATTGTAAAAAATATTCACACAAACGTCATCGAACAATATTTAATTTATTTCAAAAAGTTTCTGTATGGTTGGATAGAATTTTAAATGGAATTCTATATCGTGACCGATGGAAATGGAGTCGAACAATAACAATTATTTAATGGTATTTTTTAGTGGTTCTTTATTTTTATAATAACGAACAATTTTTTTTATCGAAAATCTTAAGCTCGGAAAAGTTTCAAAGATAAACTCAAGAAGTTCTCGAAGCAATATTTTCTTTTTCTGAGAGAAAAAGATCTTGTCAGATTTCAATATACTCTTGTGACAGTATATTATAACCTCTGTCACATGTCAATATGCCCTATATATCGATCGGTATTATCGGTATTATTATTGGAAAAAGTATTCTTGTAAAATTACAAAAGATAGAAATTTTGACACTTTCATCCCCTTCTCTCTCTCTCCTCTATAGAAGAAGATTTCCCATTTTTATCGTTGCTTTTACTCGTTGTTTTTTCCCCATTTGTTACTCTTTATTTAAACTTAACACCTTCTAATTATAATTAATGAAAAATTCGGACGGTTATATCTAACAAACTTTTTCACTCAATTCGTTATCCTGAAAATCTTTTCTTAGATCTAATTAAGTAAATTATTATTCATTAATATTTTTAAATTATTTTTAATTAAGTACAGTACAGTAAAAAGAAATGTATTCAACAGACGAAAAGAAGGGAATGTTTTTTTTTGTTATATTGTAGAATAATTCGTAGAATTTATGGTATTTACGGAACATATATCACGTAATATCGGCCAAACAGATATTATCGATATATTCTACTTTTGTGTCGAATACTTTCCCGTCAGCAAAACGTCTGTGGCGATAGTCGATGCGGGACTCTTCAAATACGCTAAAGGACTTTCCATTACACTCCAAAGAATAGCCAAAGATTTGAAAGTCATGGAGAAAAAATCTCGATGCTCTCTCTCTCTACATCCAAGCGAGCCGATGATATCGCGCTCGGTAGTCTGCTTTTACATAATAACTTATCGCTTTGGTAGAAAGTGCTACTACCTTCCATCTGGGATCGAATTTTCAATTTCTATAATTTCTAGCGAATGTTATAAAATATAAATAATTTCGAAAAAAAAAAATTCTCTCTAGATTTAAAAGGATTAAAAATTAACGCGCGTGTCGAATGACTTATCTCCGCCGACAGTTTCGAGCCGGCGTTTGGTTTTAATGGGGTGACATTTAATCGTGTTAAAGCGACGTTCTCGCACTTCGACGTTAACTATTATTAGATAATCGCGTTTGGTGGGTGATAGTTGGGAAGAACGAGACTTACCTGCAAAGTGTCGACTGTAGGAAGAAAGCCGCTGGTAGGAGAGAGACCGATAAAAGTGAATGACGGCAAGCAAAGTGTGGCATCGATGGGAGCATGCGCTCAGGTGGGAGCGAACACTACATTAAAAACGCACTTCTTGAGCCACAATTTATTACTCACACATTATTATGAATTAATGAATGCTTAATGTTCCGTGTAATTATTTTAATGTTGTTTCGACACGCCATCTCCGACCCGAAATTGGTTTTAATCCATCATATTTTTCTCCTATATGAATTTTTTTTTTTTCGAACCGATAATGCGTGAAAACGCGTATATCGAACGAAGACACTTCACGACCTTTTCTTAATCTTCCAGATTATAGGATTGAATATTAAATTCTCGGGATTTTAACCTAGGAGAAGTCTTTTACTTTGACTTCTAGTCGACACCATCGTTTGCCAAATTACTTACGTGCCAATAAGAAAAGTACGAGTCGATATATCGACTAGAGAAAAGGCAACACGTGGTAATTATTAGGAGATTTTTTTAAAAAATGACAACGTACCATCGTCTATTTTTATCGGTAAATACCTACTTTAATTATCTTTAATTGCGTT